TTCCTGGATGTGGCCAAAGCCTTTGAGACAATGGCCAACTATCCTAAACGGGTAAAAACCATTTATTCATACCTTGACTGCTGATCTTTCAAAACGTCCTTCTAGTCAGTTACATCCACATGTAGCCTGCGGGGTCGAGTGGCCCACGGTGGACTCGACCCCCCTGTGCTGTTCAGTCTGTATTAATGTTTAATTAGGAGTTGGTTCGAACTCTTGAAGGAAGTAATTGCTGTTACTGAAGTTACTATGACAAATTTGATGTCTGTGTTAAATTTTCATTGTCCCGTGTATTTCGCCGGACCGTTGTCTGCATGAATTATATTGAGTTGTTTATATCAGGCATTTCAACTTACGACCCTCGGACCATATGTCTGGCCCTCAACTCCATTACTGAGGTTAAGAATATGTGGTGCTCTAACTCCACGCCCCAATACGTCTGCATGACGTGGTACTTAGTTAAGCACCAGTCAACTACTTCGCCTTAACCTCGAATCCGTAACAGTTGGCCAGTGACAATAATTTCGAGTGAGTGTGTACGCGGCCTTACCTTGACTGCTCTAAAACTATGGGCATTTTGATTGGTCTCGGGCATTCTTGCTGTGGAAGAAGGTATTTCAACACCCGACCACCAAGGGTCGCTGGCGGAAATACGTGGGATTCCCAGCTTATACTAGACTACATGGCGCAACAACACAGAAGAGTCTTCATAAACGCTGCCTTCAGAACCTGAAGTAACATGTTCAGTTCATTCAATACAGCTGATTTATAGTTATGAATGCAACAAATTCATTGTGTCATTCATTCTTAAAGAGATTCTTTAATGTTTTAATGTAATCTAATGTTTTCACTTTTGTAATGTGTCCCTCAAAGCAATGCCCCTAATTTATTTTTCAGACTGACTGCAAAATTGCGTTCCTGAGCAACTGTTTTTTTAAATTATGGAGCAGTCGAAATTAAAATTGAGGAAATTCAATCTGAATTAATTGTTCCATGTCTTAATATTAAACCGAACACTTCTGGCGACTAGTTTAAAATGTCCTTGTACTAGTGGATAGATTAATTTATTTATTATAAATAAAGTAATTGAAACATTAATAATGCATAATATTACCGCTGTTTACAAACCCTCCGAATTGAATTTCATAATTTGCAGTGTGGCCTGCGCTCTGACAAATTTGCATGTCTCTCATTCATAGGACCCATCGTTTGTAACTTTCAAACTTTAGCGCCATCGGAACTGCAAGGCGTACAAATAATGTTTTAAATTGAAATTAAGCCATATTCGTTGTGAAGACTTTGTATTAGGTGCGTATAGAAAACTGGAATGTTATCAGCTTTGTCACGTCCGTCCGCAATTGAC